TTGTCGAATCCATCATTATCCACATCTTCTTATCATGTAATTATTGTTGTTACCCCTTTGGTTTCCAAGTGGAATATCCGGCTTCAACAGCACATTTACACTTTCTCCTATTTTCTTCTGTCTGTCTGTCTGTCTGTCTGTCTGTTTTCGACACAGAACTTTGCACCGATGTGCAGCAGTTCAAGTTGCCACACTCCATGTAGCACACAAAGCAAGAAAGTAGAAGAAATGCATACTAGAGACAGTAAACAAAAGTATGAGACAAAGGTATAGTAATAACGAAGAACAAAACAGTTTAATTGGAAATCATAAGTCACAAGGAGTGGATGCATCTGCGCCAGCCATTGACAACGACGATTTTGTGCCATATCACCGATTGTTTCCAGCCTTCATTGATTTTTACCGTCCCGAGGAACCCAACCAGCTAGCCAGTCTACACCTTCCTACGTGGCTGGCTGGCTTAAACTAACCGTTGTGGATTTCATTGACTGATGTAGGGATGTTTTGGTTTGATCGCCACCAGCTGTTTCCCAGTCTGCCCCTATGTCAGCTAACATTGCCCGTTGTTGAGGAAGGTGATGGCTAGGCTAGTATACGAAACACATGTCCTGACCATTTCAATCGGTGTAACCTCACAGCCTCGTAGATTGATTTCCCCTCCTTACCTATCACTCAACGCCTAACCTCAGTATTGCTCACCTTATTATACCACTTCACACGGGAGGTAGAACGCAGATACCTGTGATCGAAGACAGCTAATCTTTTCACGTCTTCCACTCTCAATGGCCAGGTCTCATAGCCATAAAAGAGGACAGAGCAGACTGCTGAGCAGTACACACGCCGTTTGGTCGATAGCCGGATGTCGTGTCTACGCCAGAGACGGCGTAAACTGGCATGTGCGAAACTAGCCTTCTGTATCCGTACTGAGATTTCGTCAGAGATCAACGCGTTGGGGCTTATGGTACTTCCGAAATAAGTGAAGTGGTCAACACGCCCCACCAACCACTTTGCTCCCTATTTTCTCCAGTCCTCTTTAGCTGGTCCCCTGATTGACCATAGTGTATCGCATCTCCTCTTGACACAATCTTTTCCATGTCACCCTAAACCACCCCACTCGTCGTTCCACATGAGATTATGCCCGGCGCGCAATGCCATTCAATGGTTTCCTCAGTTGTGTTTGTCCAATCCATCTGCATTTTCTTCGGAATATTTGTTGTGCACCAATCACCATCAACAGGAGAGACTCAATGGAGGTTACCTCCTTCACTTATCTAGGAAGCATCGTTTCAACTACAGGCGGAACGGATGAATGTGTCAAAACCAGCCTGAATCGGAAAGGCAAGATACGCCTTTGTCAACCTGAAACCAGTTTGGAAATCTTCTACACTCAGCATAAGGAACAAGATTCGGATTTCCAACAGGTTTCAGACTTTCATCAACAGACGCCTTCGTTCCACACTGAAGATCAAATGGTCAGCTGGCCTGAAAGAGTTAGTAGGAAGAAACTCTGGCGATGAACAAACCAACAGACGAGAGCCGATTGCTCAACAAATTTGTAGGAGAAAATGGAGATGGATCGGGCATACATTGAGGAGATCATCGAATGACATCGTGCGCCAGACCATTGCTCAAGTGGAATCCAAATAGGAAGCGACGAGTGGGTCGTCAGTCCGAGCGAGGGTGACATTCAGGAGATAATGTGGAGGAGGAGATGAGAGAGTTTGGGCAATCGTGGACCCAGCTGAAGAGGATGGCAGGAAATAGAACAAAGTGGAGATGTGTTGTTGAAGCCCTGTGTTCCACTCGGAACCCAAGGGAACAATAATAATAATATAGGTTCTTGATTGGTTTGTTCCCATGCTTTCTCCTTGCTAATTCTTTCTGACTGGCTGTCTGATCTTCAATATGGAGCTAACGAAGGAGGCAGCTGTTGATAGAAATCTCCAGTAGCCTGTTGGAAATGCCTTTCGTACTCCCTGACCAAGTTTCACACCAATATAGAAGAAGTGACCGAATTAACATCGGTGCTGAATTTCCGAATCTTGTTTTTTATGCCCCGGGTGGAGTGCAGAAGATTTCCAAACTGATTTCAGGGTGATGAAGGTCTGTTTTGCCTTCCCGATTCTGGTTTTGACATCCACATCCGTGTTAACTGTTTGTAGTTGAAACGATGCTGTATGGTGAGATAAGTGAAGGAAGTGACCTTTTTCGAATTTCTCCTGTAGACAGTGATTGGTTCTTGGTGTTGTTGGTTGCTTGGTTATCTTCATTATTATTATTCCCTTGCGTTCCGAGTGGAACATAGGGCTTCAACAACACATCCCCACTTTGTTCTGTCTTCTACCGTCCTCTTCAACCGGGTCCACGATTGACCAAATTCTCTCATCTCTTCCCCACCTGATCTCCTCCATGTCGCCCTCGTGCTCAACGACGACCCACTCGTCTCTACGCATTGAGGTTTCACTCGAGTAATGGCCTGCATTGCGCGTGATGTCATTCGACGGCCTCCTCAATATATGCCTAATCCAACTCCATTTTCTTCCACATATTCGTTGAGCGATCGGCTCTTGCTTGTTGGTTTGTCCCCATAGTTTCTTGTTGCTTATTCTTTCTGACCATTTGATCTTCAATATGGAACCAGCGAAGGGGGCAGCTGTTGATGAAAGTCTGCAGTGGCCTGTTGGAAATCCCTTCCGTGACACGCCAAGTTTCTGACCCATATAGAAGAACTGACTGACTGACTGACTGACTTCACATTTGTGTTGAAAATCCGAATCTTGTTCTTTATGCTGAGTGAGGCGGAGTGCAGAAGATTTCCAAACTGATTTCAGGTTGATGAAGGCGTACCTTGCCTTTCCGATTCTGACTTTGACATCTCCATCCATTCCGCTAGTAGTTGAAACTATGCTTCCGAGATAAGCGAAGGAGGCAACCTCTGTTAAAGCCACCCTGTTGATGGTGATTGGTGCTGGTTGTTGTTGTTGCTGCTGTTGATTGGTTATCTTCATCACGTCCGTCTTCTCTGTGTTCACCTGCAGTCCTGTTTTCGAACTGCATCTTCATCACCTCTGCGTGTATCTCTATGTTTACGTGAAGTCCTGTCTTTGGTGCACATGTTTTTAATCTGTACTAATTGACTCACTTGACAAAGCAGAATTATCTTAGACAGAAGAACAACAACTGTGGTTGATATGCCACAGCTTATAGCTGAGATTTTGTGAACTCTGCTTTACTTATTACTACTTTGATAAAGCTATTAACAATGAATAGCAAAGCGTAAGTAAGTAAAAGCAGTGTTGTTTTGTTTTTACTCACTGAGTAATACAACAGTTTAGTAATAATATTATTCTCCTTCAGTTGACATGGTTTTTTTGTGCATGTTATACATAATATCAAATTGTCCTTCAAGGGGTGTCATTTACTAAGGCTTTCATTTAAAGGCGTATGTCCAGTGTTCGAATACCATTCCACGTACTTTAATCTGGGTTGCTAGGTGGTCTCATCAGCCTACTGCGCTGAGAAACTGAGTTTGAGCAACAACCTTGCGTATGAAACTTGTTTGACACTAGAAGTGGCTCCTTTGCTCCCATGTGTGAAGTATAAGTGAAAGCTTAAGGCCTCATATATTATAAATTTCTGATAGGTAGGAAGATGTCTGAGAGCCATTTGGCAGTAGCACGATATGCGGAATTTGTTATAACCAAGATTGGACGTAGTGGCACTTTCTCTTTGTGGACTGCCATATAAACGGGGAATCACGGAACTTGAGGGTCGTATTTGCTCAAATAATTCAGGGCTGATAATCGATTCGTTCGAATTATTTGAGCAAATACGACCCTCAGATTCCGTGATTCCCTATTATAAATTTTTTTATATTTGTCATTTCCAAGTCTGATGATCTTGCTTATGGAAATGCTGTGACTGAAAGTGGTTTTCCAGTATTCATGTTGAAAATTTATGTGAAGTGTGTCACTAAGAAAACTCAGTTCATTCGACTTTGCACAGATGTGTGCACTAATTCAAGTTGCCACAGTCGATGCACTACACAAAGGAAGACTAAAGAGAGACAGCCAAAGAGATTCGGAAAGACGATAACAGCCCGAAATGTGAGGGAGAAAGAATCGGGACACATGGGAATAAAACAAAAGTGTTTTAAGTGTTGGTTTGTGGGGATTTGATTGCTTACAGGATTTTCATCATGAGCTGACATCAGTTAGAGAACCATTGGAAAACCTGGGAGTACTGGATTACTGTTTCGTCCTTCCTAGTTTGAGACTCTTCATCAGTACGCACCCACCGGGATTCGAACCCAGGACCTTCTGGTTACAAGGCGAGCTCGTAGACCATTAAGCCACTGGGACCCGATCTAATGGCCCATGAATTCTAACTTCTGCCAATTCACGACATAGCGCGACCCCTAGCCAATGTCTTCGGCGAGTATTTGTCCTCACACCCGACTTGCTGCACCCTACTGGTCACTACTTCTCACTAGAACCCCAAGTAACTACCTGCCTGAATAGGGCAAGTCGCTGGTGTTTTAATCGATATGAGAGATCACACAGAGTGCATGCCTCTGAGCCGTCATTCAGAACTATTTTTAGCTAAATCGCTAGCAGTCTCCAGCCACTGGTGTTCTTGCAATCTCGAGAGCAGCAACCAGGCAGTCTACACATGGCTGGCTCGAACCAATTTTCGACGACTTCGTGGACTAACCCCATGTTCTGGTTTGACCACCGCCACCACACTAGCTCTTTTCACGATGTTATAGTTCAACAAATATCGCTGTATAATTCCATAATATCAATAATAATAATAATAATATATCAATAATAATAATAATATATCAATAATAATAATAATAATATATCAATAAATATCGCTGTAATGTAATGATTTTGTCCTGTAATCCTTAAAACTATGTAATGTCTTCTAGATGTGTATAAATCGTGAATTAATTCTAGTTATTATATACCTCTTTTCTTTATGTCTTTGTTAATTAGATGGCAGGATTATGTGCAACTGTTTGGCCGAAACCTATATCACTTATTCCCTGTTTATCGTGGACTTCAGCGTCAGTTGTCTTTGTAGAGGTTCGTTATTTTTATTTTTACTTTGATAAGTTTTATCACCCAAACTGTTTAACACCACGTGCATATTTTGTTCCGAGAATGTGTATCAGTATTGTGAATCGTTCGCCATTCATAAGGTCGTTGCAACTTCTAAAAGTGGTGAACAGGAGGTTGTTATCATTGCAACCGGTGTGTTGTATAAGTTAGCACAAAGCTTTGTATGTTGCAAGTATGCGTTTAAATCAGTTTTGAATGTGTGCACTGTGACATGAAAAGAAGATGAACGTGTTATGGGGATCATTTCCTTCGTATTACGGTGTCATTTCTACCAAATTCCTTAAGTAGAAACCAATCTTGAAGCTGTACATTGCACACTTACACCTTCATTCGTAGTTCGTTTTTCCGAATTTTCACCGCCTTTTGTAAAAATGTGGTTTCAGGAGATTTTGTCTGACTGTTTGACTGCCAGTAGTTACATCCCTATCTGACTCTTCCAAACTGAATACATGTTTTATCGGAAATCAGCCAGTAGTCTAAGCTAAATGGTCTTATGTTAAATCTCCATAAATTTCAGACAATCAACTTCACCTTTAGGCAAAAACGTGATCTACACGAACTGGTGTATTCACAAGATGCTTGTAGCACAGCATAGATGGCACTGAGATTGTAACTAAGTTAAACATAGAATACTGGACAGCTGTTTCGTTCTAGTTTGGGACTCTTCAACAGTATGCACCCACCGGGGTTCGAACCCAGGACCTTCTGGTTGCAAGGCGAGCTCGTAGACCATTGAGCCACTGGGACCCGATCCAAGGTCCTGGGTTCGAACCCCGATGGGTGCGTACTGATGAAGAGTCCCAAACTAGGACGAAACAGCTGTCCAGTAATCCCAGGTTTTCCAGTGGTTCTCTAACTGATATATCAGCTCATGATGAAATCCTCCATGCAATCAAACAAAAATCCCTACAAAATCAATACTTGAAAATTACACATAGAATACTTTGGAAATTGTTCTGTCCTCTGATTTCTAAGAGAGTGTTCCGTCTAACCTACTACATTAAGAAGTCAAAACAATCAGGTAGGTATCCCTCAACCTCTACTTTTACATTTTGTTAACTCTTGCATCTTACCTATTGTTCTCTACTGTTTCTCTCATTCTTTTCTGGGCTACTCAAAAAGGACTATGTCGTATTTTGAAAGGTATTAAAGGTTGTCAGTAGGGCAAGTAGTGTGCTACCACCAAGTCAGTCAACTCCTTACTACTGTAGTCGATAGACATCTGAGCTCATGTGAGAAATGGTCTAAATCCATATTGTCTGTCTCTCAACCCCCTCTCTATTCTCAACTCTCCGCACCCTCCATCTCATCAGAGAGGACTAGAAAAAATCATTGTAAAAGATTATCAAGTAAAAAAACTCAGCGATACTGTATTTGGCCTGCCCACGTTCTATGTCGTAGAGAAAGTGTTAATCGTGAAACCTACGACTTACCATGTAATTAGCAAAAATAATTGTCTCTTTCATCCTCTCCTGTTTGTAATCTATGGTGAAAATATTTCAACTAACTTATAATTTTAGCTGTTAACATTATTATCGCTATTTTTTGCACTCTTTGTACAGAGTTTTGACTTTATTGTCACTGCTAATACCAAAAAGCTGTTATTGATCAATTCTGGTTACCTCTATCCTGTAATATTTTTTTGGTTTTGCTGTTGTCGAGTAAATTAGATGCAATAATATTGTACCAAATGCTGAGAATTCCACACTCTGTATCACATATATGCTGTTTTGGAATAAAGAAAATCATTCTGCCCACTCTTCTATATATAAGCTGACAAAAAGACTGTGCGCCTATTTTACTTACCTTGTTCTTCAATTCAAGTTTGCCACTACTGATTTGACGTGTTGTCCCCTTGATATTTTATTTTTATTTTCGTAAAGTTCCTTACAAAGATGTGAGTAGTCAGTGCAAAACACCGCACAGATTGGTGGATGATGATTAACAGTGAGATCCAGGATGCGCATTTCCCCCTATTTGGGACTCGTCAGCCACTGGATGTACCTGCATTCCTCAGTGAGTGATGGTTTTCCCACCGAGACTCGAACCCCACTGCCCGTAGTTTCAAACGCTAAAGCGTTATTCACTAGACCATCTGGGCCAAGAGAGTCACCTCTTGTGCAATGGGTCTTATTGATTATTTAATTCAATTTTAGGTTTTCCCGTCGATTGATTGGACCGAAGTGCTCGGTCTTAGTCAGTTGACAAGAAAATTTAAATTGAATTAAACACTTCAAAGATGCATGAAGGGCCTGTATGTTGGTCTGATCCAAAGTGTGGTATGTATAGAGGTAGCCTATATTATATATGTATATATATATATATATATACATATTGTATCCTTTAATTCCTAGAGGAACATAGGGCTTCAGCCGTGCGTCTCCATTGCGTTCGGTTCTCTGCTAGAGTCTTCACCCGGCTCCAAGTCAACCCACACGTTTTCACCTCCTCTTCACATCACTTCCTCCAAGTCACCCTTGCACTGACGACCAACTCGCTGCTTCCCTTTCGGGTTCCACTCAAGGAATGGCTTGTCTAGTGATGTCACTTGATGCATTGTTTCCTCAGAGTATGGCCAATCCATCTCCATTTCCTTCTGCATATTTGTTTCACAATCGGTTCCTGCTGGGTTGGTTCACTCATTGCCAGAGATCTCTGTTGCTGATCTTTTCTGGCCATCTGATCTTGAGTATTGAGCGAAGACAACTGTTAATGAAGGTCTGTAGTTTGTTTGAGATGCTCTTTATGACGCGCAGTGCAAGTCTCTGATCCGTATAGAGTAGTACTGACTGACTCCACATTGGAGTTGGAAATCCGGATGTAATTTTCATTTTCATGCTGAGTGCTGTTGACCTCCACAGACTTGAGAGTAGTGAAAGCTTATCTTGCTTTGACATCCTCGTCAGTTCCGTTCGCCTGTAGTTGAAAAGATGCTTTTCAGGTAGGTAAAAGAGGCTGTTTCTTTCAGGTTCCTCCCATTTATGTTGATTGTTGTCTGTCATTGTTGTTGCTGTTGGCGGTGTTGACCAGGAATCTTCATCACCTCTGTAGCCTAGTTATGACCTTTTTGGTGTTGCTAAAGATGATTGACTGGAGTGACTAGTCATAACGTAGCTCAAACTCTCTCTCTCTCTCTTTGAAATTTTAAACATCTACTAGGTTAAGCATTCCACTTGAAGGTTTGATACTTCTTAGGTTCGAATCCCGGGTGACTGGTTAGTATCATGGTCATCATCATCATCATCACCTGTCGTACAAATAGTTTAACTCATATCCCCTGGTACGTGAGGAATTTGTTGTGCGGATCTGGATTTTAATTACACTTGTCTTCAATCAATTCTTTCACACCTTTTTTTCTCTCTGTTAGTTTAGCGTCATTCTGCTTCTGGTGTCTTTTATTAACACATTGTCTCAGTGTGGACTAATGAGAAGACTATGGAAGATCTGGATTTGGAGGCGGACGATTTATGTGTAATATCACATAATTTCATCGACTTTGAAAAGGCATTCGACAACGTCGATCGAGAGGGGCTTTGGAAACTACTTCGCTACTACGATGTGCCACCGACAATTATACATCTCATCCAACAGCTGTACGACAGTGCTGCATGCCAACTAATCCACAACGGGAAACTCACGGAATCCCTCGAAGTGAGGACAGGAGTAAGGCAGAGCTGCCTATTATCGATAATTATTTCCCTGATTGCAGTAGGTTGGATAATGCGACAGACAGTGGGCAATGAGGGAACAGGCATAAAATGGACTCACACAAAAAACTTGGAGGATCTGGACTTCGCCGACCATATATGTCTGATTTCCCACAAACTGGAAGATATGCAAGCGAAAAGCAACAAGTTGGCAGAAGAAGCATCAAAGATAGGACTTCAGGTGAAAATAGATGAAACAGAGGTGATGAAGATTCCTGGGCAACACCACCAACAGCAACAACAACAACAGACAACAATCAACATAAATGGGAGGAACCTGAAAGAAACAGCCTCTTTTACCTACCTTAGGAAGCATCGTTTCAACTACAGACAGACGGAACTGACGAGGATATCAAAGCAAGAATCGGAAAAGCAAGACAAGCTTGCACTACTCTCAAGTCTGTGGAGGTCAACAGCACTCAGCATGAAAATGAAAATTACATCCGGATTTCCAACTCCAATGTGGAGTCAGTCAGTACTACTCTATACGGATCAGAGACTTGCACTGCGCGTCATAAAGAGCATCTCAAACAAACTACAGACCTTCATTAACAGTTGTCTTCGCTCAATACTCAAGATCAGATGGCCAGAAAAGATCAGCAACAGAGATCTCTGGCAATGAGTGAACCAACCCAGCAGGAACCGATTGTGAAACAAATATGCAGAAGGAAATGGAGATGGATTGGCCATACTCTGAGGAAACAATGCATCAAGTGACATCACTAGACAAGCCATTCCTTGAGTGGAACCCGAAAGGGAAGCAGCGAGTTGGTCGTCAGTGCAAGGGTGACTTGGAGGAGGTGATGTGAAGAGGAGGTGAAAACGTGTGGGTTGACTTGGAGCCGGGTGAAGACTCTAGCAGAGAACCGAACGCAATGGAGACGCACGGCTGAAGCCCTATGTTCCTCTAGGAACTGAGGGAAACAATAATAATAATCACAACAAGCTGACAGAAGAAGCAACAAAAACAGCACTTAAAGTACACATAGAAAGGACTAAAGTGATGAGGATAACCAACCAACTGACCAACCAACAATAAAGAACACTAATCACTCTCAACAGATTGAATTTGAAAGAGGTCACTTCCTTCACTTATCTCACCAGGCAGCATCGTTTCAACTACAGGTTGTCGCGACAGATGAAGACATCAAAACCAGAATCGAAAACACGTGGCAGACCTTCATCATTTCTGAAATCAGTTTGGAAATCTTCCGCACTCCACCGGGGCATCAAAAAAAACAAGATTCGGATTTTCAAAATCAATTTCACGTCAGTCAGTTCTTGTATATGGGTCAGAGACTTGGAGCTCATCTCACGAAAAGTATTTTCAACAGGCCATTGTAGACTTTTATCAATCAACAACTGCCTTCTCTAGCTTCGTACTGAAGATCAGATGACTAACCAGAAAGAGTTCTGTCTGTCTGTTTTCGACATAGAACTTTGCACCGATGTCCTGCAGTTCAAGTCGCCACACTCCCCCCATGTAGCACACAAAGCAAGAGAAGAAAGTAGAAGAAATGCATAATACAGACAGTAAACAGATGTGAGAGATAAAGGAGTAGTAATAACGAAGAATAATGTAGTTTCATTTGAAATCATAAGTCACAAGGAGTGGATGCATCTGCGCCTGCCATTGAGAACGATCACTTTGAGCCATGTCACCAATTGTTTCCAGCCTTCATTGGTTTTTACCGTCCCGAGGACCCCAACCAAGCAGGAAGTCTACACCTTCCTACGTGGCCTAGACTAACTCTTGTAGATATCATTGACTGGTGCCATGTTTTGGTTTGACCGCCGCTAGCTCTTTTCCAGCCTGACCCTATATCAGCTAACATTGCCCATTGTCGACGAAGGCGATGATTAGGCTACCATGTGTAACACATGTCCTAAGCATCTCAGTCGATGTAATTTCACAGCCTCGTCGATTGATTTCCCCTCCTTACCTAGCTAGCACTCGACGCCTAACCTCAACAACAATAATAATAAGCTGCTTTATTCCAAAAAAACAGTACTCATAATAAAGCGTGGAATTTTCAGCATTTATCACAACAATATTGCATCTAATTTACTCAAAATATAAATAAAATTAACCACAGGAATTTGTTCACGTTAACATTAGAAGTAAAGTCAAAAATGTGCAAAGTACAAAATGAGAATGATAACTATGATAGCAATAATAATAATAATATTGGGTTTTTCTCAACCATTATTGTCGATAATGTATGGAATTTTAAGCTGGTTATAGAGTATTGATTCGTACGTCCTCTTGACATCGCATGGTGAGGGGTAAAACAAAAATAAATTTAAAAAATTATTACAGAGCATAAATAATGTTTACAATTATGAAAAAAAATCAGGGGACTATAAATATAAAAGGAATGATAACAGTAAAATTTGTTGGTATAGAATGAAGAAAATGGTTTATTTCCTAGCGGAAATAAGGTTAATTAGCTCTTGCCTGACATTATTTTCATCATATATAGAATACGTGTCCAATATGGTATCGTGGGATTTTTACACATAAACGTGCTCCCATAAAGTCTTTCGAAATGGCTTCTTGTTCTACCTGAGGAAATACAAATTGACAGCTACGGGTAAAGTGGATGCTCACAATCTGACAAAATCCCTTCATCAAATTTGTTGCAAGAAATCAAATGCCTATTAGTGATGATGTCAACGGCCATGGCCCAATGGGATACCATTCGCCCTACTGACTGACAGTTTTCAGAGTCCTACGAAGTATGACGTAGTCTTTTTTAAGCAATCCAGGAAAGAATAATGGTGAACAGTAAAGAAGAATAGATAAAATACACGAGTTGATAAACTGTAAGAGGAGGGGTTGAGTTATGCCTGAGTGCCTTAACTTCTTAATGTAAAAAGTCAAACGAAATACTTTTTTTAGAAATCGCTAAGACATGGGAAGACCAGGATAGGTCAGTAGAAAGAATTAATCCAAGATACTTAACTTCAGACTTGATTTCTAAATCAATATCATCAATTTTACTACGGTCATGGGAATTAAAAGCTTCATTTAACTTTCTTTTACATCGGAAAATGAAATTAACAGTCTGATATTTGGAAGGATTTAGTTTAAAACCATTTGCTAACTCCTGATAGAAAGCTGTTCATCTTAGTACAGTCTAGCTGGGAGTTAACAGACATTGAAATAGTTAGATCATCAGCATACTTAACAAAGTTCATTTCATCAGAGTGAGGCAAGTCATGTATGCAAGAAGAAAGAAAACAGAAAAGGAGAAAGAACAGCGTCTTGAGGCACTCCAGCCTCAGTAAGCAATGAAGTGGACAACTTCCCTTGACATACATTGTACTGCTTTCTTCCTGAGAAATAAGAATGCAGCCAGTTGACAACCCAACACTCAGTTTGAGTTACAGCAAGCTTATTTAACAAAATATCCCTAGTTACTGAGTCAAAAGCAGATGTATAATCTAGGAAGGCGCAGCGAACAAATTTAACCCCTTTGTCTAAACTAGAAACAGTGTTATGATGCAAGGCAGCAGCTACATTTAAAGTACTTCTACTATGTTTGTAGGTGAATTGTTTGGAATCGTGAAAGGCTTTAAGTTAAGGTTCAATATCAAGTAAGAGCAACTTTTCCATAGATTTTAGAAAAGGAGAGTTTATAGCAATAGGTTTAAACTTGATACATGTTCCAGTATAGGTACAATTTTAATGTCCTTCCAAACGGCTGGCACGATATTTCCGGAAAAAGATTCATTAAATATGTCAGTGAGGAATTGATTTTTTAGAATAACGCTAGGCACACTATCTAGACCTAGGCTAAAAGAAGGGTTCAGCGACTGGAGGCATTTTAGAACGTCATTTGTATTGAAACCAGGGAAGCAGGTTTCATTAACACTTGTGACACTAGAAAGCATAGCATTTGCGAGAGAATATATTAGAGACTTTGGGGGGGGGATACACACATCAAATGAATAAGGAATACTGTTTATCTGCTTACCACCAGTAATTTCTTTTTGAAAGAAGAACCTATTGCTCAACGAATTTTCCCGAAGAGAATGGAGATGGGTCGGACACGCTGATGGAGACCATCAAATGGCGTCGCGCGCTAGGCTATCTATCGATTGGGGCCCGAATGGGAAGGGAGCGATGAGTTGGGCGTGAGTGTGAGAGTGATATATAGGAAATTGTGTGAGTTAGAGGAGATGAGGGACTATGGGGAATCTTGGGGCCAGCTGAAAAGCAATACAGGGAATAGGACGAAATGGAGATGTGTTGTTGGAGACCTATGTTCCACTCGGAACCCAAGGGAAGAACAGTAAAAATAATAGATGATATTATTATTTCCTTTAGTTCCTAGAGGAACATAAGGCTTCAATCGCACATCTCCATTGCGTTGGGTTCTCTGCCGACGTTTTTACCTGGCTCCACGTCTGCCCACACGCTTTCATCTCCTCTTCACACCACCACCTCCTCCATGTCACTCTCGCACTGACGACCAACTCGCCGCTTCCCATTCAGGTTCCACTCGAGCGATGGCCTGTCTTGTGATGTCACTTGATGGTTTTCTCAGAGTATGGCCACGAAACAATCCACCTCCATTTCTTCCTGCATATTTGTTGCACAATCAGTTCCTGGTTGGTTTGTTCCCACAGATCCTTGTTGCTGATCTTTTCTGGCCGGCCATCTGATCTTGAGCGAAGACAGCTGTTGATGAAGGTCTGTAGTTTGTTTGAGGTGCTCTTCATGACGCGCCAAGTCTCTGATCCGTATAGTAAGTAGCACTGACTTCACATTGGAGTTGGAAATCCGGATCTTATTTTTCATGCTGAGTGCTGTTGACCTCCTGTTGTAAATTTTTTTTTATTTATTTCCCCTTTGCTGGTGTTGTTCCCATTGCTTTATTCCTTGTTTTCCTGATGCTAAGAGGAGCAACACAAAATGTCGCTCTCCTGTAACCTATACATACACATGTAACAACCCCCTTCTCAGGCGTGAGGCTAGCAACCCCACCGTGTAAACAAACTTGCTACAGCAAAATCTTTCACTTCTGTGTGTCTGTGTATATTTGAATACAGCTTTTGCTAGAAATTGTTTTGTGATTTACTCTCATGTTGTTTAACCTGATCCATTATCTGTCCTATATTACTAATATTTCAATTCCTTTAAATAAAATTTTGTAGGGCATTTTATCAAATGCAGTCGATTGGTCAGTATTAACAAAACAATACTATTCAGATTCAATTTATTCGGATGTAATTCGACCAAAACTGCAACCTCCATTTCCTGCCTCCTTTAAAGCGGATAATACTTCTGAAGATCCTCTGGGTAAGCATGTGTATTCTTGAATGAAGAGGATTTGCATCTAATACTTCTTTTACCCATTTTCATGAGTTTTCTTGTAGAGATTTGATTTGTTCCAAATTTTTATCATGGAATGATGTCAGTTAGACAACTATTGAAAATAACCAGGGAGTACTAGACAACCGTTTCGTCCCATTTTCAAACTCATCAGTGGTACGTACCGGCCGCCAGAGTTCGGACTCAGAACCTTCCGGTTGCAAGTCAAGCCAGTGCGGCCCGACTCAATGGCCAACTCATGAATTCTAATTTCTACCATTTCGCGATTTTAGCGCGACTACCGGCAGGACGAAGTTGCCTTGAGTTCCAGTGAAAAGTCGTAACCAGTGGGGACCACCCAGTTGAGAGTGAGGACAAATGCTCCCTTATGACACTGGTTAGTATTCGTGCTGAAATCGCAAATTGGTGTAGAAGTTAGAATTGATGGACTGGCCATTTGAGTCGGGTCCTAGCGGCTGAATGCTCTTTGTACGAGCTCGCCTCGTAGCCAGAACCCTGGCGATGGGTGAGTATTGATGAAGAGTCTTAAAGTAGGACGAAACAACTGTTTAGTACTCCCTGGTGGTTTCCAACGGTTCTCAAACTGATATCAGTCTGTGATCAAACTTTTACCATCACTGTACAATATGAAAATGTTGGCACTGCTCTGGTTCTTGGAATTACTTATAGTCACGGAGCAACAGAAGAGGGAATCAAATCTCTGTGATTAACATTCATTCAAGGAGAGGTTAGTGAGATCTCTGTGTAAGGTTTTAAGCACTCATTTCTGAAGTCTGAAGAACAAATCATGATTATCCGTTTGTAGTCTATTACTTTAATTGTTTCTTTTTTTTAAAACATTTTGAGGGAGATCATAAATTTCTGATCTAATGTAATCTTTTGATTATGAGTTTTCGTGGGGATTTGTATTAATTTCAATGGAAACTTCGTCACGAACAAATGCCAGATAGTACGGGGCAGCCGTTTCGTCTTTGTTTGGAACTCCTCAGCAGTATGCACCTGTGGCCCCACCACTCACAAATGTCGAGCCTGTGACAAGGCCAATAATCGAAATACCAACTTTCTGCTCATTGATGGTCACTGGATGGATTTCTTGAAGATGGAGTAGTGGGAGAGGTCATGACGAGTGGAGTCCACCATAAACATCACAGTGAAATGAATGCCCGTCCAATGCTATATCATGAATTAACGCATGTTGTAATTCGCAGGGCCATTAAATTCCTCCCCAAGTGTCTGAATGATCAATAAGCTTGGTTCTGTAACCTGAAGATCACGGGTTCGACTCCCAGTGTGGTCGTCTATGCTCACTGCTGAGCAGTCCTAGACAAGGACGAAACAGTTGTCCAGTGCTCCGTGGGTTTCAGTGATCTCTAGCGGGGATTGGTTTATGACGAAGTGTACATTGAAAGTAAGGTAGTTCGATATTTTGGTAAATGTTCACTCTGTATAGAAAGACTAAAAACGATGCGTAAGTAGCTTCGTAAATGTACGACTTTTAACCAGTAATGGTAACTGTAATTCAGGATTCGTCTCGTTCTTCGTCGGTTTCTCTTTTGTATCCCCTCACATTATATATATATGTATATATATCTGTCTGTCTGTTTTCGACATAGAACTTTGCACATATGTGCGGCAGTTCAAGTCGCCACAATCCATGTAGCACGCAAAGCAAGAGAAGGAAGTAGAAGAAATGCAAAATATAGACAGTAAACAGTGGTGTGAGACAAAGGAATAGTAATAACGGAGAACAAAAGTTTTAATTGGAAATCATAAGTCAGAAGGAGTGGATGCATCTGCGCCACTGAGAACGATTTTGAGCCATGTCACCAATTGTTTCCAACCATTGGTTTTTACCATCCCGAGGGCCCCAACCAGGAAGTCTACATCTTCCTACGTGGCTTAGATTAACTGTTGTGGATTTCATTGATTGGTGCCATGTTTTGGTTTGACCGCCGCTAGCTCTTTTCCAGCCTGACCCTATATCAGCTAACATTGCCCATTGTCGAGGAAGGCGATGACTAGGCATACGTAGAACATGTCCTAACCATCTCAGTCGATGCAATTTCACAGTCTCGTCGATTGATTTCCCCGCCTTACCTAGCACTCGACGCCTAACCTCAGTATTGCTCACCTTATTATTCCACTTCACGCGGGAGATAGAACGCAGACACCTATGATCGAAGACAGCTAATCTTTTCATGTCTTCTGCTCTCAATGGCCAGGTCTCACAGCCATAAAGGAGGACGGAGCGGACTGTTGAGCAGTACACACGCCCTTTGGTCGATAGTCGGATATCGCGTCTACGCCAGAGACGGCGAAAACTGGCGAATGCGAACCTAGCCCTCTGTATTCGTGCTGAAATTTCGTCGGAGATCAACCCGTTGGGGCTGATGGTACTTCCCAAGTAAGTGAAGCGGTCAACGTGTTCTACCACTTCACTTCCTATTTCTAATCTAGGGGTCGGTGTAGTCCAATCCTGCAGCATCATCTTACATTTTATAGGGGCGAATCGCATGCCAAACATGCGGAGGTTGTTGCTCAGGGTGTTCAGTAGACTCTGCATTTTGTCAGAGTCCTCGCCTAGAAGGACTATATCGTCCGCATATTCTAAGTCAACGAGATTCTTCCCTGGTAGCAAGTCAATCCCTGAGTCGCTGAAGTGAGTTAGGGTTAAGTCCATTAGTACATCTATGATGAAATTGAATAGGAATGGGGATAATGGGCATCCTTGACGGACGCCACTAGTCGTCACCACTTCAGATGACAACTCGCCATAAGCCCTCACCTGGCTGCATGAGTACGAGTAGAGTGCCTTAATCAGTGCAATGTATTTTCTTGGCATTCCCTTTACAGCCAAGCATCGCCAGAGAACCTCCCGGTCGACGGAATCGAATGCCGCCTTTAGGTCAAGAAATATAATGATTGTCGGACGCCGGTAGGAATGCCTATGTTCTAGAATCTGTCGAAGGGTGAAGATGTGATCAATACACCCTCTACCTGGCCTAAAACCTGCCTGGTTTTCTCGTGTTTGTATCTCCCGAGCACCACTTAATCTACGCAGTATTATTGAGCCTAGGATTTTAGATACTATATTAGTCAAGCTAATCCCTCTGTGATTATCACAAGACGACTTGTCCCCCTTCTTGTATATCGGGATGATCAGTGACTTACACCAACCCGATGGGACTTCCTCTGATTCCCAGACGCTGCCTAGAACCTCCGTTAACGCAGACAGTAAACTGTCGCCTCCGTACTTAAATACCTCTGGAGTCAATAAATCAGGTCCCGCTGCTTTGCCTAGCTTCAGATTGGTGACAGCTTTAGTAACCTCGGTTAAGGACGGAGGACCTGTGTCTATCTCCCATTCAGGGAGGTGCTGGATGTCCGGTAGGTTAAGTGTGGCTGTGGGCCAATTAAACTGCTCCTCATAGTGTTCTTTCCAGCGCTCCAGACGTCTATCCTGGGAGCTAATTATGTTGCCATTTTTCTCGGAGATTGTTTCGCTTATCATTTACCTTTTACCACCTGTTTCCCTGATAAGCCTGAATAGTTGTCTGGTGTTGCCTATCGCCGATGCTTTTTCCATCTCTTTCGCCTTTGTCAACCACCACTGTTCACGGTCCTTGCGGAGACTTTTCGTAAGTTTCCTCTTGTGCAGCTTTCGCTCCTCATTGAATTCGGAGCTCGCCGGAATAAGTCTTCTAGCATCTATCAGTTCGGATGAGGCAGTCGAAATCCAATGGTTTTTACTCACCTTTGGATTTACCTTATTCACAGCTTTTACAGCTGTATCTATGGCTGACTGAATATTCTTCCAGGCTTCTTCAGGGTGAGCGCAGCTGTCAAACTCAGATATGTGTTTAGCTAGTTCTTCCTCAAATAGGGACTTAGTTCCCTGGTCGAGCTGGGGACGTGGTGGGTTTACCGCCAGCTGTTTCCTACGTCCGTTCAGTCGTAAGCACACACGAGCGCGGACCAGTGCGTGATCCGTATCTACACACGTGTTCCAGAAGGAGCGACAATCCCCTACCGACCCACGCCAACGATAGCTTATTGCTATGTGGTCTATTTGTGTCCAGCGTTGATTTGATGATGGTGGTCGCCAGGTCAAACAGTGTCTCTCCTTGTGTTTGAAGTTAGTGCTTACAAGATACAAATGATTATCTGAACAGAACTGTAGGAGACGGTCACCGTTGTCGGTTCGCTGGCACGGAATTCCGTATGTGCCACCAACATTCTTCTCAGATTGACACAATTTCCCTACTTGAGCATTAAAGTCACCAGCTAAAACGACTATATCTGAGCGTCTAGCCTTTCGCAGCAAACTGGACAGCTTTTGGTAGAACTCATCCTTCGTTTCATCCGAACTGCAGTCAGTGGGGGCGTAGGCGGAGATTACGAAAAGGCATCGGCGAGTAGTGCAGTCCTTTCTCCTTTTCACTGATCCGTTCAGGCGGACAGCGCACATTCGGCTATCTACCGGGATCCAGTCAAGTAATGTCTTTTCTGCTCTAGTACTTAAAGCTATCCCAACACCAGCTAATCCTCGTGAGCTAGCCGTCTCATCTCCTGACACCCTCAAGGTGAATTTTGCATATTCATCCTGTTGGCCAGGTGGGGTTAGGTGAATAACCACACTTGGGTCTTGTATGCGTGTTTCTGAAACACAACATACATCAATGGCTCGGGATGCCAGAGTCTTGGCTAGTGATGCTTGTTGTCCTATTTGGCAAAGTGTCCTAACATTAAATGCTCCTATATAAAATTGGTGGCGTGGCTTTAGGAGACCATCAGTGGTGGCTTTTTGGCTTCCATCGTTATCAGTGCACACAGAGTGAAGGGGAAGTGAAGAGCCAACAAGTAGAGGAGTTGCATTAGTAGAAGGAAGGCAAGATAATAGAGATGAAGATGAAGACAAAGATGAGCGAGGATTAGAGGGGTTTCGCGTGCACTTCGGATTGTGAGGG